TTACCTCTTACAGAACTGGAAAGAGCTATACAATTAACTACGAACTGGACTGTAATAGTAGTAATGTTGTCTACTTGCTGTCCTGTAAGGTTTGTCATGCGCAGTACGTTGGGTCAACAACAACAAAATTTAGGCTTAGGTTTAACAATCATAAGGCCCGTTTTAGAGCGCATTCAGGGCTTTCTTTTGAGGGTAGAAACAAGGATGATCTTTTGTATAGACATTTTTTTGGCCCGGGACACCATGGTCTTGAGGATGTCAGTATACAGTTAATTGACAGAGTGTCCGGGGAAGAATCAGCTCTCCGGGATAAAGAAGGCCAGTGGGCCTATAGGTTGAACTGTATTCAGCCTCAGGGCTTGAATATAAGCGACTTTTTTTACAGCCAGAATAGGTCGACTAGGTCTCGCGTCCGGTAAGAGCGCGCGCGTGTTTATCTTTCTTTGTAGCGCGTGCAAGTTTTCAAATTTGTTCGTTATCATGTTATAATGGTGTGTGATGCTTGTAACGGCCATTCTTAATTTTTAGATTCTTTTTCCACCTCTTAGGCTGTTCATTCTACTGCGAAGATCACGTTCACCTTCATAATAATAATATAACAAAGCAAAAACAGACGATCGAACCTTTTTTGAAGACAAGTAACACATTCCATCAGCGACTTGCCAGGCAAATTTCATCAACTGATCCGCAGATAGACTGGTCTGTGGCTTGATATCAGGGTCCTTGAAGTACGTGTCGTTTAGTCCCCGACTCTTCCTCAAATAGCCCAGCAGGTCACCATACGGTACATACTCAATAAGGACTAACAGGGGATCTGCGGATATTTAAACAAGCTAATAAGGTAAACCTCTCAGCCTTATGAAGATGTTTTCAATAAGTAAAAAACAATCTGTATTTAACTTTCAAGTACAGGGATATATAATCGTTTGTATTTATATATACACGTGAATTTGTGAAGCCAACAAACTTTAAGCCACGGAGTATTTCGACAAGCCGGTAAAGTGGTTTGAGTATGAGGTTAAGGTGGTTAAGCTAGGTGGTTTGTGAGTTGCTTCAACTACGATGTGCGTAAAATCCAGTGAGGTGGTTTTGTGGAACATTTCAAACCACGGGGTATTTTCACGGGCTAGGAGAGTGTGAGTTATGTTTTGTACAAGTCAGTGAAGGGTTTTAAAAAATGATTAATGCTTTCTTTACATGCTAGCCAAGTTGTTTGTGAATTACTATTCTGTTTGTTTATACGGCAAGTCAAGTATTTAGATGGCGAGTGATATAAGTGTCATATAATTGTAGCGGGGATTTGTGGATCCCACGTCAAACTCAGTGATTTCTCGCGAGCGCTCCTTCCCGAGACGTTTCCCTCGCGGGAGGCGCTTGGGCGCGTGTATTTCACTGGGACCGAGAGTACTCGTAGTGAACTCGCGAGGTGATGGTTTTAATTACAGTGAACTGGTATTTGAACAGTATTTGAGTTCATTATTCCTTATGCGAGTGATAAATTTCTCTTGCACAGACTGTACAGGTTCAGAAAACGGTGGAAAAAATCCAGAGAGAGTTTGATGAATGGAAGAAGAGGTCACACACCATTGCAGTTGACACTGATGTTTCAAATTTACAATTATTGATTGCTAAGCCTGCATCTGTCTTTGATCATTTTGCTGCCATGGGTGCATTGGAGGATGTTGTAGCTATTCGAAAACATTGCGTCAGTGCCGATCCCTCTTGGTAAGTCGAGCTCTCCAGGACATTCTTGTGAAGCTGTGGCATCAAAAGAAGAAGAGGAAGTGGCTAAGGTGGTGGGAAAAGCCTTTAAAAAAATTAGTCAGGGAAGGTGAAGCTTGAGCAGTCCGTTGGCTGAACGCGCTGGGCTCCATATTGCTCTCGTCGGGAAATGCTTGATTATGCACACTTTACGTGGAGAAACATTAGAACTTGTGTACCACGGGAGTCCCTGTTAGGTCCACTCTTGTTTGAAATGTATCAATGATCTTAATTGTTTTATTACTAATACGTCTTAGAGGCTGTACGATGACGACACCACTGAATACGTCTCTGATTTCTCACCAATGGTTTTGCAGTTTGTAATTAACTCCGATCAGAGGGTGCTATCCAGATGGTTCAGAATGAATTTTTTTACAGATTAACGCCGCTAAAACGTAAGCTGTTGCGATTGGGCCATCATCATTCCATCTTAATGATTCTAATGTTGATAAGAAGGATACACTTAAAATCCTAGGAGTTGTCTTAGACAGTAAATTAATATTTAAAGCGCACATAAAGGAACAGCTGAATAAGGCCTGCACAAAAGCTTCTGCCCTGCGGAGAATATGTAAGTTCATTTCTGAGGACGTATTAGTACGTCTCTACAAGGTTTATTTTCTCTCTCACCTAGAGTACTGTAGTCCACTTTCGCTGGGAGTAGGTAATTCCGAGACTACTAAAATGGAGACGACTAACTATTTTTTATTAAGAACTATGTTAGGCTATTCGAAATCTGTGTCATACGACTGGAACAACGTAGCCAATTCCAATCTTTAGTTATGTTGTACAAATACTTGTACGACAAGGGGGCACTTTATATCAGTGATTTTTTTTTACTTTTGAGGATGCACCGCACAATTTACGTGGGCTTAGCACAAAGCTGAATTTGCCTCCCTTTAATCTGGAGTTTATGCATCGATCCTTTACATTTTTAGCCAGCAAACTTTGGAATGCGTTACCTCGAAAAGTTAGAGAATCACAAGACATTGCGTCGTTTAAGCGATCTCTTAAAGCTCACATGGTTTAAGGTGTAAGGTTTGTAAATTCTGTAAATAGCCTTAGTTTTAGATTCTACTTTTAGCCATTTGCAGATCTATTTATAGTAAGTATTTTAATAGTGGTAATGTATAGATTATTAGTATACTTTTCCATTTTGTTTTAATTCGCACACACGTACACGTTTTAAGGAGAGCTTTGGTGCTCCTGGGTATTACGTGTCTAAAGGATTTGATTTGATTTGATTTCATTTGGGTTTGTGGCCACCTTGGTCATGCGCAGGCCTGCCCAAATAAGCGCGCTAATATTTATGAATAAACTTTGTTATTTGCATAATGTTTTTCCTAGTCTTGTTTTGCTGGGCCTTTCTTTACTGTTTTGTCCCTCTATACCCTGGGGGAGGAGAAGAAGCTCTAGAAGCGTTTTGCCTCTTAGGACTAGTTTGGAAGTGGAAATGGTGGTCACTATCTCCGAGATTGGGTGTTTAGTCATTTCCCTTTCTGGTGTGTTTTCTTTTCGTTTTCTTTAACCCCCCGTGAAGCGCATTAAGTCGTCTCAAGTGAAGTTTGAACATTTCATACCCTTGGAAGCGGAACATCAGGGTTTTGCAAGGGAAATTAACCCTCGGACGTACACACAAATTGATACCCCCACTGTGGTACAAGGGGGAGCTGATGGAACCCCTCCCTGAATTATTGATTTGTTGCAGTATTTCGAAACGATTTTTCCTTCAGTGGAGAGCCTTTGATCTTCTCTACAAGATGAGGTATATTGTTTCGTCTCGGGTTTGCATAACTGTCTCGTATTCTCCCAACCCCTCTCGTATTTATATCAGGCTATGCAAACACGGAAAACGTTTTCTATTGCTTAAATATTATTGAGGATCTGCAGTTTGGGGTTGAATGACAAGGATGGTGGCTTTTTTATGTCACCCCTTCCTTCAGATGGGAGAATGCCCATTACATCTATCAAATGGTGGGATTATGGTCGGCAAACTTCTTTAGGAATCTGGGGATAGCGTGTTCATTGTACACTAATCATTGTCTTTATGGAGAGTCATTCGCTACCGAGGACTATTGGTCTCGCCCCAGCATTGAGCAGGACGAATACTTAAGTTTCCTGGCGACGGAAAACGCTTTGTTCGTCGTACTTACGTTTACTGTCCATCTTGGCTATTTCCTTGGATTAAAGAAATGCATGATTGTTCCTGCAACAATTATCGTATATCTTGGTATGCTGGTAGAGTCTGTGGCTTGAGCCTTTTCTAAAAATTAGGTCAGTCGAGAGCGGGCATCTTATCGTTGGAAAGTTCGTCCATTTGAAATCAATTCAGAAGTTGAATAGCCGCTTCGATTG